GGATCATGACCTGAGCCGAAGGTAGACGCTCAACCAACTGAGCCACCCAGGCGCCCCAGAAACTGCTTTAAAGAAGGGAACTGTTGGAAGTCACACAGCTAGTCCTTGCAGAGCTGAGTTTCAGAGTGAGCACTGGGCTGTGCAGCTGCTGCAAAACAAACCAAAAACACCAAATCAAAACTTAGAAATTGGTCACTTTAAAGTGTCTTCCTAATTTTAATTTAGCCAAATGACCAATTATATTTGAACTTCCAAGTATAATCAGAACAGTTTACCTGTAATATTAAAGTATTTGACTCTCTGCTTGAAATAAGAGGGTTACAAAGATTTGGGAAGGCACTTTATAAATGGAGAGCTCCTGACAAGTGATTCATTTCTTGCAAGAGTTTTACAATTGCATTTGAATCTTAGGTGATCCTTTTTCTCTTGTTCTGAGTTCACCATAAAATTTGACTAAGCCCAAAAGAATTTTGTAACATGCCTTTTAATTTGCATGTTTTTTTAATGTCTTTTTCCTTTCTGTAAATTTATTATTTTTCAACATTTTAATGGTGACTAGTTTCATGACCATTTAAAAACTATAGTGAATGTTAAGATTCAAGTACTTTAAAAAAGATTCAATACTTTATAATAAACATTCAGAACATAAAAATTGAAACATTAAACTGGTATTTTGATACTAATCTAAGCCATTTATTTATTATTATTTTTAAATAGTTTTATTTATTTATTTATTTGACAGCACAAGCAGGCAGAGCAGAGGGAGAGGGAGAAGCAGGCTTCCCGCCGAGCAGGGAGCCCGATGCGGGGCTCGATCCCAGGCCCTGGGATCATGACCGAACCAAGGGCAGCCTCTTAACCCAACTGAGCCACCCAGGCGCCCCAAATCTAAGCCATTTAAATAGAGCATTTTTTCAGTTAGGTGTCTGGGGAGATGCAAAGATTAACACAGTCTGGTCTCTGCCTCAGGGAACATGAAATCTGTTTGGGCAAACCAGGGCAAAAATAAAGGTGTCAGTTATAGCAGCTTTCAATAACAGCCATTCCAAATCAACCCCACCTCCTCCAGGAAGCCCTCCCAGCTTTCCCCCAGCCCGGGAGAGGAGGTGGTAGAGGTGCCCCTGAGTTCTGCTAAGACTGTGCCTCCCTCAGGTAGAGCTTCTGGGCTTGTAGTACCTAGGCCTATGGGCTTCTAAAGGCAGGCCCTGCTCATTGGTCACTCAGCTGTGTGTTCCTCAACTTAGATGCTCACGAGGTGCTGCAGTGGTGGTGAGGGCACAGCTTTCAGAGTCACACTTTGGTCCTGGTGTCCGTTCTGGTGATCCCTAGTTGTGCAACTTTGGGCAGGGTAAATTACTAAGCCTCTCGGTGCTTCAGCTTCCTCAGTTCATTGCTTCAGGCTGCTTTTAGGCAGTTTTAAACAGCAGAATGGGGATTGGAACTATATTTTATTTTAAAAGATGGGCAGAATTTGGATCAGCAGATGACCCTTTGTGTAGCAGGTGGAAGATGAGGAGAAGCATTTAAACTATTGAAGCCCATTAGGGCACCTGGGTGGCTCAGTTGGTTAAGCGCCTGCCTTCAGCTTAGGTCATGATTCTGGAGTCCTGGGATCAAGCCCTGTGGCAGGGAGTTTCCTTCCCTCCCTCTCCCTCTGCTTCCCTCCCTCCCCTCTGTGCCTCCCCCCGCCCATGCTCTCTCCCCCACTCATGCACTCTCACAAATAAATAAAATCTTTTAAAAAATAAAAAACAGTATATCTGGGAATCATACTGTAGTGTGAAAAAAAGCACTTGAGAGCCTGAAGTCAGAAGACCTAGTTTTATTAGATCCTATTTCTGCTACTCACTGTGTGATGTTGCAGAAAAGACTATACACCTCTCTGAGGATAATGATACTCTCTCATGACAAGGGGTTGTAGAAAGGATTAAATAGAAGCGTCTACCACAAGGCCCAGAATGGGTGCTGATTTTAATCAGTTTTAATCAAATATCCATGCATCTGGTCCCTCAAAACTAGAAACTGAGCAACATCTTTGGCCTGTGACAGAAGTGTATAGTTCTTTCCCCAAGCACTAGTTGTATTGTTGTAGGTACAAACGGGTCTTTTTCAGGTGCCATTAATTCCTGCTCTCTAGGAAGTTGTTTTAAAAATGAGCCATATTCAGCTTAGATAACATTGGAGCCAAAGGGACTTGTAAAAGATCATCTAGTCTAGATCTGCAGCAGAGTCACTTGGCAAGCTGAGTAAAATATAGATTCCCTGGTCCCACTCCAGAGAATCTGATTTTAGTGTTTGGAGTGTAGCCCAGAGGATTCCCAGACAGTTGGTGGGTTTGGAACTAGTCTCTTTCATGTTATAGATGAGAAAAATGAGAACTGAGAAGTAAAGTGAATGACCTTATGTCATTCAGTAAGTAAGTTGTACAGTTGGTCAAACTTTTTCTTACAAATATCTGAAGTGATAGGTATTCATGCCTGCACGTTGTACTGACCCAGGCAGAAATCCGACACTGTTAGTCTCTGTGGGGTGGAGATCAGAAATGGAAACCATTTTTATACTTCACTAAAATTATCAAAATGTGACTTATTTCCCAGGTGTTATTTCCAATTTTGTCAGTTATGTATGTAAAGTCGCCACAGGAAGATATGGACCATCACTTGGTGCAGTAAGTATTTCTAATGTAAATTTTCTTAATTTAGTTTTTAACTTCATTTTGACATAATTTTAGGCTTACAGAAAAGTTGCATAATTATTACAATGACTTCTATATACCCTTTACCTTACTGTTAAGTACAGAACCACAGTAAAATTATTAAAGCCAGGAAATTAACATTTGAAACAATACTACTAACTAATCTGTATCTAATTTAGAATTCATACGTTTGTAGAGCCTTGTAAACTCCAGGCCATAGCTTTTAACTGTTGGTCATTTATATATACTTACTGGAAAAGTACAAATCAAGAGTAGTCAGAACAGTTGGATGTCCAATCCCCAAAACCAGAGAGCCTAATCTAGCATTGGAAAATTGAAAATAATTACAGATTTGAATCTGGTACTATATCCTTCTGTTTAGTCACTATTTGAGTGTCTGCTACGCAGATTAGACTAGTAGGTACTGTACTAGAGACTGGGGATACAGCCAGTGAGCAAGATGATCACAATTCCGGTCTTTAGGCGTTATGTTCTGGATGCTTAAAAACAAAAATACAAAAAACAAAAAAGTGCAAATGTGTTTTTTGAGTTTAATGGCAGATTTCTAGGCACATAGAAATCTTTGCATAACATTTTTTTAAAGACTACACATTCATTTTGTACGTATTTAAGTGCAAATCACTTAAATGCATTCATATAGGGGATTTCATATTTAAAGAAACTTCTTGAAGGTTCATTTTTAGAAAAATAATTCTTACGTAATCATCCCATAATGTGTGTGTTCCTCAGATTTGTGTGTACTTAATTTCTCAGTGAGACCTAGATCTTCTCCTATCACCTACTTGATTTCTTAAGCACCCCTTTTTCCCTGCATGGAATGTTTTATATATAAAATTTGGTGCTGGTATAATTTACATATTTCAAATCCTATCCTTTACCTCAGTCACCAACTAAGCATCTGTTATGTGAAGGCAGTGAAGACCACTGGGGTGAATCATAAATGGACTCTGACTTTGGTTGGGGAAAAAACATTATACACATACATAATACACACCAAAAGGGCTGAGTGATCTCTAGAGGAGTTTGGGTGTCCTCAGAGTGAGGAGACATTTCTCATTAACTGAGGGGATCTGGGAGGGCTTTTTTTTTTTTTTTTTTTTAAGATTTATTTATTTACTTTGGAAAAAGAGAGCAAGGGGGGCGGAGGGGGAGAATCCTCAAGCAGACTTTTTAGTGAGTGCAAAGCCTGACACGGGCTTAATCCCACAACCCCAAGATCATGACTTGAGCTGAAATCAAGAGTCGGGTGCCCAACTAACTCAGCCACCCAGGTGCCCCGGGAGGGCATTTTGATGTGCCCTCAGACAAGTGTTATTCTCATTTTACAAATAAGAAACTGAAATCCAAGATGAAAAGAGTGTGGCATATGATATTTGGAATTAGACTGGTTTGAATTCCAGGTCTGTCACTTACTTGTGAACTTGTGATTTCTAGAACATATATTACTGAACCTCTTTGAACTTCAGCTTCTCTATATAAAATGGGGATAACACCTCTCTTTTGGATCTTCAGTGCAGGTGTGTTTAGAATGCTTAGCATAATAAGGAGCATGTACTAAGAATTGTGGAGTTCCTGTTAGTCATCAAAATTCTGTAGAGCTCTTCATCTAAAACTAATGATGTAATGTATGGGGATTAACATAAGAATAAAAAAAAATTCTGTAGAGCCATGTCAGGATAAAATTATTGTCCCCAGTAATTAAAGAAAACAAAATCGCCAGGAATAATGGCATTTTTAATGAGAAAGCTGGAAAAAAAATACTATTGACAAAGTTTTGTTTTGTCAATTAACATATTGGCACTAGGGAGCAAGAATACTGACTGCATTTTGGTAAGGGTTTTGTTTAGCTAGAGCTCTGTGTGTTCTGAATCTCACTTAAAAATTGTTTTTTAGTAGTTATTGGTAGGAAGCTTTTCTCTAGTGTGCTTTTCAAAAGTTTATTGTCTGTGAAATGTGACCCTTAATCTTGAGATGGCAAATATCAATAAAATGTTCGTTGTAGGAAACAGCATTTGTTAAAATTTTAGAGGAATTTTTTTTACTTGATGTTATAGCTTATCACAGGCCAAATTTGCTCACCAACATTATGATAACTTACTGTAACTTCATTGATTAAAGTATCACTGATTTAATCTGTATATAAAGTGAATTCTCTGCTAAATTAGGAAAGTATCTAGTCTCTTCCTACAGGGTTGCAAGTAAAATAAAATGGTCACTAGAACAGATTTGGAATTCCATTTTGATTTGTTTATAGTGTTTGGAGTGTATCTCTTTGTATAACTTTCTTAGTGGCTGCTCTAGGTATTGCAACATATATACATGACTATGTATACACACACACACACACACACACATCACTTATCACAGTGTGCTGGTGGTGGTTGAGTGAAGTAAACCTTACCTCCATTTTCATCCCTGTATCTTCCTCAAATTATAATTGCCTTAAATATTTCCTCTGCGTACATTTAGAATATTGGCCACTGTTGTTGTTATATGTGCTTCAACCACTAAGCATCATTTAGAAAATTCCAAGGGAGGAGAAAACTACTGTATTTATGCATAATTTTTACTTTTTCCATTGTTCTTCTGCCCTGATGTTTCAAGATTTCTTCCATCTATCATTTTCTTTTTATTGAAGGAATTTCCTTTAGCCAATCTTTTAGGTAGGTCTGCTAGTGATAAATTCTCTTAGGTTTTTCTTTGAGAATGTCTGCCCCTTCATTTCTGAAGGATATTTTCACTGGATAAAAAATTCCAGGCTGACATTTCTTTTGGCACACGAAAAATATTGTGCCACTTCTTTTTGGCCTCCACAGTCTCTGAAGAGAAATCCTTTGTTGTTCAAATAGCTTTTTGCCTATAGGTAAGATGTTGCTGATCTCTTTGAAGATTTTTTTCTTTGTCTTGAGTTTTCAGAAGTTTGACCCTGTCTTATCATGGATATCTTTGTGTTAATCTTGTTTGGGGTTTGCTTAGCTTCTTGAATCTAGAGTTTGTCTTTTGGAAATTTTCAGCCATTACTATTTCAAATACTTTTTCATCCTCACTCTTCCTCCCTCCTCTGGAACTCTGATGACATGATGTTAGATCACTTATAATTTCATGGGTCCCTGAAATTTGGTTAATTTTTTTCAGTCTTGTCTTTCTGTTGTCCAGACTGGGTAATTGCTATTCTGTTTCAAGTTCACTAATTATTTTCTTTGTCCTTTCCATTCTGCCTTAGCCCATTGATTGTTTTTATTTAGGGTACTATATTTTTCAGTTCTAAAGTTTACATTGTTCATGGTGTCTTCTGTTTCTTTGAGCTTTTCTATTTCTGTGCTATTTTTCACTCATTTCAAGCATGTTTGTAATTGCTCATTAAAGCGTTTTTATAATTGCTGTTTAAAAATGTTTGTCAGACAGGGCGCCTGAGTGGCTCAGTCGGTTGGGCAGCTGACTCTTGTTTTGGCTCAGGTCATGATCTCATGGGATGGGATCAAGCCCCGAGTGGCTCTGCGCTCAGCGGGGAGTCTGCTTGAGATCCTCTTCCTTTGCCACCCCCCGCCCACCCCTGCTTGCACGCTCGCATGCTCTCTCTCTCTCTCAAATAAATTCTTAAAAAAAACCAAAATGTTTGTCAGACAATATCTGTATCATCTTGTTGGGGTCTATTGTCTTTTCTCATTCAACTTGAGATTTTTCTGGTTCTTGGTATGGTGAGTGATTTTTAAATGAAACCTGAACATTGGATATTATGAGACTTTGAATCTTATTTAAATCTATTGTTTATCAGGCTGCCCCCTGACACTGCTCTGATGAGGGGAAGGGATGTGTTGACCATTAGTGTCTGGTGAGGTGGAAGTAGTCCAGGTTTCCTACTCAGCCTCCTTTGACACCTAGGGGATAGGGCTCTTGTTACTAAAGGGCAGGACTGGGAGTTCTGGGAGTTCAGTCTCCTTGTAGACCTCTCCTGGCTAGGAGGAACAGGGCCTTGTTACTGCTGCCCACATGACTTCCACTGACACTACCCTGTCGACAGTATTAGGATGCCGGGTTGCAGTCTGCAAGGGTAGAAGTCTAGGCTCTCCCCTCAGCCTTTGTTGATGGGGACTGGGCCGCAGCTAGTTCTTTTGTTTGGCTGGTGTAGAGTGGTTATTATCTAAAAGTTGATTGTCTTGCTAGGCTACCCTTTCTTGGTCCTTTGGCTACAGAGAGCATTTTAGGGTGTGGGGATGGACCCATTTTGTCTCAGTTCTTTGATGTTTCCAGGTGATGAGATTCTCCAGAGCCAAGTCTGAGTTATGTGAGGCCAAAACCCACGGGACTCACCACTGTGTCATTCCTTGGATCCCAGGGTTCCTTGCTGGTCTGCTTTCTTCTCTCAGCCTTTTAGAGTCTTCTTAGTTTTACATGTTTGTTTTACATGTAATGCCAGGGTTTTTAGCTGTACTCACTAGCTTGTGGAAACACAAAGCCCCTTAGAGCAAATTCATTTAAAATTCATCGTGCAAAAAAAGTCACACATGTGAACAATGATATGTTATGAAGATTATATGGATAAAGAATTATTTATGAAAATTTACTTATGAAACAAAAAATTATATGCACATCTTAATTGCAAGTACATAATCAGTGTACGTTTTACATTTAAGTCTGTGTTTCACTTTGAAAAGAACTGCAAAAGACTCTTGAACCACAGTCACCAGTTTTTAACATTTTGCCACATTTCACTACCATTTTCTCTATATATACACATACTATTTTTTCTGAACTGTTTGCAAGTAGGTTGCATATATCATGCCCTTTTACCCCTAAATACTTCAGTGTATATTTCTAAGAATATGAATATTCTTGTATCTTTCCACAGTTCAGTTATCAAATTCAGGAAATTTAGTATTGATACAATACTTTAACTTCATTTATAGAACATATTCCAGTCTTTGTCAGTTGTCCCAATAATGTCTAGTAGCTATTTTTTCCCCCTCTAAGATCATGTATTGCATTTAGTGGTTATGTCGCTCTGGTCTTCTAAAAGCTGGAACATTTCCTTCCGCAGCCCTTTTTTTTTTTTTTAATTGAAGTATAATTGACATAACATAGTAGTTTCAGTGTACAACATAATGATTTGATATTTGTATATATTGCAAAATGATCACCACAGTAATTCTAGTTAACATAGTTAAGAGTAAGTCTGTTACCATTTATAGTTACACATATTTTTCCTTGCCATAAGAACTTTTAACATCTGTTCTCTCAGTAACTTTCACATATGCAACACAGTAATATTAACTGTGGTTGCCATGCTGTACATTACATCCCCATGACTTACCTCTTTTATAATTGGAAGTTTGTACCCTTTGACCCCCTTCACCCATTTTGGCTCTCCACATCCCAGACTCTGGCAGCCACCAGTCTGTTCTCTCCATACATGAGCTTGCTTTTTGTTTTTTTAAGATTCCATACATAAGTGAAATCATACAGTATTTTTCTTTCTCTGGCTTATTTCACTTAACATAATGCCCTTAAGGTCAATCCATGTTGTCACAAATGGCAAGGTTTCCTTCCTTCCTTCCTTCCTTCCTTCCTTCCTTCATGATTTTGTTATTTTAGAGAGAGCGTGCACGAGCAAGGGGAGGGGCAGAGCAGAGGGAGAGTGAGAGAATCCCAAGCAGATTCCATGCTAAGCCCAGAGCCCAGCACAGGGCTCAATCTCACAACCCTGAGATCATGACCCAAGCTGAAATCATGAGTCAGACGCCCAACTGACCAAGCCACCCAGGCACCCCAAGATTTCCTTCTTTTTAATGGTTGAATAATGTGTGTGTGTATGTGTGTGTGTGTGTGTGTGTGTGTGTGTGTGTACACACCACGTTTTCTTCATCGATGGACACTTAGGTTGTTTCCCTATCTTAGCTATTGTAAATAACTCTAGTATGAACATGGGGATGCATATATACCTTTTTGAGTTAGTGTCTCTGGATAAATACCCAGAAGTGGAGTTATTAGATCATATGAAAATTCTGTTTTTAATTTTTTTAAACATTTTTTAAACGATTTAATTAATAATTTATTGAGACAGAGAGTGCACGAGCAAGGGGAGGGGCAAAGGGAGAGAGAGAGAGAGAGAGAGAGAGAGAGAGAATCTTAAGCAGACTCTGTGCTAAGCACGGAGCCCATAATGGGCTTGATCTCCAGACCCTGAGATCATGACCTGAGCTGAAATCAAGAGTCAGATGACCAACTGACTGAGCCACCCAGGTGCCCTTCTGTTTTTAATTTTTTGAGGAACTTCCATGCTGTTTTCCGTAGTGGTTGCACCAATTTACAGTCCCATCAGTGGTGCATGAGGTTTCCTTTTTCTCCACATCCTTGTCAACACTTACTATTTTCTTTTTGATAATAGCCATTCTAACAAGTGTGAGGTGACACCTCATTGTGATTTTGATTTGCATTTCCCTGATGATTAGTGATATTGAGCACCTTTTCATGTGTCTGCTGACCATCTAAATGTCGTCTTTGGAAAAATGTCTGCAGATCTGCCCTTTTTAAATTGGATCGTGTTTTTTTGCTATTGAGTTACATGAATTCTTTATTTCAGAAATTAATCCCTTACCAGATATAATTTGCAAATATTTTCTCCCATTTGGAAGGTTGCCTTTCCATTTTGTTGATAGTTTCCTTTGCTGTACAGAAGGTTTTGGGTTTGTTGTAGTCCTACTTGTTGCTTTTGGTCAGCTTTTTTTTTTTTTTTTTTCCATGTCATTAACAGTTTTGAACAATACAGGTCAGTTATTTAATAGAATGTCCATCAGTTGTGTGTGTCTTGTTTCCTCATGATGAGATGCTGATGGTGTGTTTTTTGGTTGGAATGCTACACGAGTGGTGTTAGGCCCTTGGGTACCACAACTGGAGACACATAATGCCCATTTGCCCCTTATTGTCCATTTATTGACTGGTTGTTATCCAGCTTCTCTACTGTAAAGCTACTGTTTACCTTTTAAAATTAATGTGTAATTTGTGAGAAGGTGCTTTTGGGATTTATGTAAGTATCAGGATCTCTTGTTTGTCACCCTCCTCACCCCCCTTAAATAGCATCCATTGATTATTCTGCCTTGAATCAGTTTTTGCTCTGATGGTTGTTAAAAGAGTGAAGATGTACATCTCATTAGCTTTTCCTAATGTTAACATCTTCCATAACCATAACTTACCAAACTAAAAAATTAACATTGGTAAAGCATTGTTAAACTGCAGACTATATTTGGATTTCCAATTTTCCCACGATGTTCTTTTTTTTTGTTCCAGGATACTACATTGCATTTAATTATCATGTCTTTTTAGTATCCTCCAGTCTGTGATGGTTTCTCGGTCTTTCCTTGTCTTTCATGACCTTGATACTTTTGAAGAATAGTGGGAATATATTTTGTAGAATGTCCCTCATGGAAATTTTATTATTATTTATTATATTTATTTTTTATTTTTTTAAAGACTTTTAAGTAATCTCTACACCCAACATGGGCTTGAACTCAACCCTAAGATTGAGTCACATGCTCTACCAACTGAGTGAGCCAGGTGCCCCAGAGTTGTATTATTTTTAATAAGTGACTAGAACTGAGAACTTTGGCAGAAGAAGAGTGAAGTTAAAGCGCTGGCCTCCTTTGCTCTCTCCTTGGCCTCCAGGTGCACTCAGCTTCTTTGCATTTTTCCCCTTCACTGTACTCTTTGATCTTCAGGCTTGGTTCAAGCTGGTTTTCTGCCTGGAACACTCTTCTCATCTCCTCCCCTTCTAAAGATTGGCCAATGCCTGGTAACGCTTCCATGCAAAATTTGATGTCACTTACGACCCCTGAGCTTACATCAGCTCTCCCTTCCACGTGCTGCCATAGTATGCCCTACTTCCCCATCATAGCTGATCATATTTTGTTTTTACTTCTGCTCCTCTGTAAGCTCCATTAAGGAAGGGACTGCTGGTTTTGTTCCCCTCTATACCCCCACCATCTAACATAGTGCCTGATACAAAGTAGGCCTCAAGTATTTGGATGAATGATTATTGTGAGATTTAATGTGAACTAGGGATTATGATCTAATTTCTCAAGTATTCTACCATTTAGAGGAAGTGGGAACATGTCTACCATTAAGAGTTTAGTTAAATTAGCATTATTTATCCAGAAGATATTTCATAGCCATTATACATTTAAGTTATGAAGATTATATAGCAACCGGGAAAAACACATGATTTAAAAAAAATACAGCCATTATAATTTCAACTACAACAAGAATTTCAACTATAACAAGAAATGGTTGACTTATTGATCATAAGCTTGTGACATTTAGGGTTTTGTTTTTGTTTTTTGTTTTTGTTTTTAAAGTAAACTCTAGGCCCAACCTGGGGCTTGAACTCACGACCCTGAGATCAAGAGTTGCATGCTTTACTGACTGAGCCAGCCCCAGGCACCCTGACATTTAGATTTTTATTCTCTAATATGAGGTTGTTGGGAGAAGTGCTTCTCAGGCAGGCAGATGCATGTGTGTCCCTGGGAGGATGCTGTGACGGGTGGGTCATGCAGAGCCACGGGATAGACATGGCATGCTTTCCTGGAGCAGAACATTTGCTCAAAGGTTTTAAAGAAAATGGTTAGTTTTATTATGAAGTAGGGTGCAAATTTCATGTGATTTTTTTTTTTTTTTTTTTTAAGATAAAGCATTATACTTGGAAGAAGTTCATGCATGTGGGTTTCTTTGGGCAAATTCATGTCACACTCTGGGTGAAGTGGCTTTGTGGAAATTTAAGAATTTCTTTTTAGTCATTAAATGAAACCCTGAAGTTCATTAAGCACTCACATGCTGGTGGTTGTACATCTCGTTCTGTCCAGATGGTTACCGTGCAGTGGACTTGCAGCCCCTTTGCCTGGTATTTTCTACGTTAATAACTGAAAGCTTTTAAGCTTTGTGCTCACCCTAGAAATGTGTGGCTTATAAATTTTGTGGAAAAAGCATTACTATAGTCACTGCACACTTGCACATTGAGAGTTTCACGTGTTCGCGTGTGTTCATTTGCAGTCAGGCGCGATCATGACCGTGCTTGCTGCTGTCTGCACGAAGATCCCGGAAGGGAGGCTCGCCATTATCTTCCTTCCAATGTTCACATTCACAGCAGGGAATGTGAGTATGTTTATGAAGTGAAGTACTGGGGACAGTAGTGATATTTTTACATTAACTGAATTCTTGCCCTTAAATTAGAAGTGTCAATGCTGGAGGAATCAAAGTTGTACCAGTTCTGTTCTCTTTTGCTGGCTTTCAGGCCCTAAAAGCCATTATTGCCATGGATACAGCAGGAATGGTCCTGGGATGGAAATTTTTTGATCATGCGGCACATCTTGGGGGAGCGCTCTTTGGAATGTAAGTTTGAGCATAACTGATTGCTACGCTGCCTTCTTGGGTCCTCTCCCCCCGCCCACCTTAGGAAGGCAGAGCAAGGCCGTTAACTCTGGGATGGGAGCAGGGGTAGTTGGTGGGGGGAGGGGGGGGGCGAGAAAACGTGCACATGGTTGGCTTTGGCCTGGCCCAGTTTCACCACGTGAGGTGGAAGGGGAAGAAGAGCAGTCCTGCCCCAGCCTCAGTCATTTGTAGAGATGCTGTGCCTTTACCCTACCGTTCACCTCCGCTCACCGCAACTCGGGAGCTGTCAGGGTTCCTGGCTCCTATTGGGATACCGTTCCCCACCCACAGTGTGCACTGCCCTCTCCTTTCCCTGCTCTCTCCTGCCACCACTCACCTCCCACCTCGCTGTCACCAGTGCTGGGCAGACACAGAGTGGACACTCTGCCTGGGACAAGTGTCCAGGTGTGTGCTATCTGAATAAATGGAGGCTGGGGATCATAAACCAGTGTTGACCACTTACTGGGCATCTGTTAGGTGGCAGGCTTTGAGCTAGTGGTTTCCATTCTACTCTTATTACTTCAATTTTACTGATGGGGAGACAGGCTCAGAAGTGATCTTCCCCAGGTCAGACAGCTAGGAGCAGAGCAAAGATTTAAACCCAGATCCAAAGTCCTTCCCACCTCCATCACACCATATTGAGTACAATAGCATAGTGTTCACAAGATCTTCCGTTTGTGCGTCACACAATGGAATTTTGCCTAAAACGTAGTAGCGCTGGGGCGACTCTGTCACAACTTCCTCAGGACTCTTGGAGCCTGTCTGACCATGAGAGTCCCTTCAACAGAGTCATTGTCTATATGATGTACTGGATCCCCTGTTGGACTATCTTTTCCTGCATAAATGTTGCTTTTTGTGGCACTTACTTGGTTTTTACTTTGTTTCATGACAATGGAAAACTGAAGTTTTTTAATTAAAAAAAGAAGAAAAATCTATTCTAAGTGGAGCAGTTTTGCCCAGTAGGCGGTGGAACTAAATGCCATTATGCCATTTATAATTTTCAGTGATGATTAAAGAATCGCATATGTGAGTTCTGGCTTTAACAGCAGCACATTATAAATAGTAGAAACTGACCTGATATTACAGCGTGAGAAACAAAGACTTAGGAAAAAGGGTTCTGTTTTATGAACTCTAAATGTATCTCTCTGGATCCTCCCATGGCTACTTAAAGGATCTTCTCCCCAGCAGGTTTTTATTCTTCTGAACTATAATTAGATGACCTTTTCCATTCTGAAAATAATTGGATCAAATGTATTTTAAAGTACAGGATCTGAAAGGCAAAGGAATCCTTTGTCTTTGCTGTTTCTAATTTCAACTCCTTTCATTTACTCGATCTCAGTCATATCCAAAATTCATCTTTTCCAACATCTTTAATTCAATTAATAAAGCTAAAGATTTAGAAATCGGTACTGATGGTCAAGATTCCATTAGTGTCCTCCTGCATATTTCCTTGACTCTGTGTCCCTCACCTTGTACTTTTGCAGTAGTAATCACTAACATATATTGAATATTTGCTGTGTGCCCAAGCGAAGAACTGATTTAATACTCTTAGATCCTGGGCGCCTGGGTGGCTCAGTTGGTTAAGCGACTGCCTTTGGCTCAGGTCATGATCCTGGAGTCCCGGGATCGAGTCCCGCATCGGGC